TTTAAGAACATTGTGTTTAATTGACCTAACTTGACCCTCAACTAGCTAATGAAAAATACATTTCCTTAGCCAATAATGATTTAGCCATCCATAGTGGCCCCAATAATGCTTCAAAGAGAACAGATAACAGGTAATAAAAAATTGAGGGGTTTTATTTATTGTCTTGAACAATTATATAATGGGGCTCTTCAAAGAGATATACTGGTAACATTTGTATTTACTTCATCTTTGGTAATTAACCTGTTCTGTAATATAATCATGACACCTTGTTACATGTGTTTTTTGTCATCAGATTATGCCATCCTATTGTTTTTTTTAAACCCATCATGTGGGTACTTACTCTTATAATCTATTGTTATGTCATAGCTTTCCATCTTTTGAGACCGATACATTAATAAGACCTTTTAAACCCATTGAACGCCGCTTAATATATCCACAGGCTATGCCAATGAATTAGCATAGATCACCAGGTAGTAATTACAATACTTATAGACTATCTGTTTATATGGGAACTTTATGGTTTGTACTATAACAATAATTATTTCATTATTTCAGTTTTATCCTACCGCGTTTTGTAAGAAATAATACACCCCGCACAACTCCCATGCCTACAATTCCTCGAGATAAGCACGTATTATACAGCTCACGGCAGCACGTTGCGATCAATTATAAAAGAAATGAAATGAGGTTTAACTTCCCACTTTTCTGCACCGACTGGGCTAATGAAGACGATCATAAGCCATGTTATGTGCTATGAGGACAACTTTGACCAGATAAGCGGCGCTACAGCATACCGGGAATTCTCGTATTTAAGCCCTGGGCTTAATTTCGAATTTGACCATGTCAGTGATGAAACATTAATTCTGAAATTAAGCCCAGGGCTTAAATTCAAAAAGAGAAAAAAACGACAAACATTTGGGTTCTTTTTATAATTTTAAATGGAACGAATCAAATTCATCAACAAAAATGGCTTTGAAAACACAAAACACAAATGACACACCGTCAAATAAATGTTCTGAAATACAAAAAGAAACTGTCCATGAACTTTAAATTTCAAAGTTCTTTGAACAAATCAGATCTCAGGGCTAGCTTTTACTAGTATGGTGAGCATCCGTTACCCATCAATGTCCTCATCTGAACTGGAATCCTCGAACGGCGTCACGGAGTTGGTCCTCACCTGGTAGTACAAGACTGGAGTGTGACAGGAGAACATCTCGTAGCCCGTAGTTCACATGTGGTTTGAAAATTTAAAAGGGAAACCACTCTAAAATAAATTAAGCCCATGGGCTTAAATTCAAAATTTAAACTCGTTATTTAGCCCATGGGCTTAATAAAGGCAGGGCTTAAATATGAGGATTCCCGGTACACTCGAATTCCAACTGTCAAAGGTTTTTTTACGTGCACGCCAATGTGTATACGGGACCTCGGTTTTTCGTTCTATCCGAACTACTTGTCAGTTCATCCACCCTGCATCACTGACAAGGGAGAACCACACCGAAAAATCTCCAGGAATTTTGTCGGCCATACCAAGAACGAACCCGAGACCTGAAGGCTAGTGGGCCAGTCTTACTCATTGAGCCACCGCGGCTCCCCGTCCTGCAAAAGTGGGAAAATGCTTGTTTATTTTGCAAACGACAAATCTTTTATAAACAGTGCATAGCCTATTAAGTCTAATAATGACGTATTAGGCATTTAAGCAATCCCGGGGACGGAGGCAACACACTTCACGGCCCGAGAGCGCCAGGGTCTCAAGCGCCCGGTCGGATGGTCAGCCCAAATTCATTTTGAAATTTAGACCACCGCAAACGATATTTCCTGCACTCTGGGACTGTTGGGGGTGGGGGGTCCTCAGGTATACTCTCATTCCTATATAGACTTATGGACACGTGAATTATTGAAATAAAGACGAGTGGATGTTGAAGCCCACATCTCTCATTGTGTCAAAAGAGGATTCCAGAAGATGCCTCGTTTAAAATAACATGTGGTTTACTTGGAATCTGTTATAAACCCCTTCTACCGATAATGATAAATTTTGAACAAAAAACAGAAAGTATAAACAAAAATACCCATGCATATTATTATATTTTCCTTTGATGTTAATAGAATGCAATATAATTTTATCAAATCTGTTTTTAAAAAAATTATTGTTTTCTCTACATCTGCGTAGACAATTGTTTGGATTTGCGGGCCTCTATCTGTCGGTATTTCATTGATTGGATTGCTATGCTTTAGTGATGCCATTTATATAAAGGGTAATTACAACACAAACATACTCCCACGCCACGCTATGTCCCAGTTGCGATCATTTCCTAATTATTTCGCAATAAATATAATTATTTCTATGCGCATCCTATAAAGCATAAAAGTATAAAGGCGTAATTATTGTCTTTTTTCACGACAATTCTTCTTGTGATTTTCCAGAATGCAATTAAAATTCGTCTTTCAAGATTTTGTCGCTTTTGGAACCTAAATGCATTGATGTTATTCTCTTAAACACTTTTGCTTTCAAGTCAGAAAAAAGGGCAATTTTTAAACTTATGTAGTAACTGTTGAATTAGATTTCTTGTGACAGAAGAATACACGCTTCATTAAAGTGACTCCTCATTATAGTCTCTTTCTCGTTAAACGGTTGACTTCTCACGTCAATAGCACGCAAATAACTCGGATTTGTTCCTTTAAATTCAAACTCCAAAGTCACGTATCCTCATCATTGTCTGTCTCCCTTTTTTAAAACTTAAATAAAAAAAAATCACAATTGTTAGACACCATAGTGTTATGGTTAACTCTACATGTCTCAATGAAATTAACTAAGACTTTCACATCGTTAAACATGTTGTCACAGTTAGATAATTTACTTTGAAGCTGTGCACTCGAAAATTTAATTTCGGTCAATAATCGCTTTGTTTATTTCGGTCATTCTTATTTCTATTTCCCCTCTTTTATGGCGGCTATCGGGTTCACAATGCGATCTAGAGTAAAAAGTAGAAAATCAAAAGAAAAAAGCAGAAAATAAAAAGCAAAATGCAAAAATCGTATCATTTAAACGGTATTTTTGTTGAGGAAACCTACAACTTTATGCATTATTAAAATCGACAGAAACAGCAAGTTTTTCAATTTTAAATCGTCAAAATTCTACTTAAATTATGGATATAATTTCTTTCTACTATCAACTTTTTGACTTTTGACTTTCGACACATCTCTGACAATCTAGCGGGAAACTGAGGTCATAACTTCGAGGATACCGAACATTATTTAAAACTCTGCCGCCTATACATTCAGATGCATGTAAACGATTCATACCTCTCGTGTCCCCAGTATTTATTTCACTACACACTTCATGGGACCAAAAATATAACTGGGTCATACAATTTTCGACATATTCCAAAGACTTTAAAATTAGGAATTTATAGTGAATCACATTATACATATGTATGTGTATTCAATAAAACTCTTAACGTGTAAATTTCAGTATTTTTGATTATGATTGCACATCTTTTAATTAAAATTGAATTGTTTATATTTATAGGAGATGGGTTAAATAGGCCATGTCTGTTCTCCAATACCGTTCATTTATGAACACAATATTGTCTATAAAAAAATGGGACGGAGGGCCTGACAAGGACAGCTCTCCTGTCGTTCGGATGGGACGAAAAATTGAGGTCCTGTGTACACATTGGCATGCACGTAAAAGATCCCTTGGTAGTTAGAATTCGATATACGATTAGGCCATAGAGCACATAGCACACTGTATGGTGTATGCCCATCTTCATTAGCCCAGTCGTAGTAGAACAGTAGGACGTTAAAGCCCATTTCATTTCATTTATAAAAAAAGGGGGCTCTCCTACCACTATGAGAGTGACATGTAAAGTTTTGGTGAATATTCTTGATTTTAGAAGTACCAGGAGCAGTGATGTAGCTAGAAGTTGAAGTTGTCCCCCACCGATCGTCTACGATGAACAACACAACACAATACACATAAACATATTAATACTTTCAAACAAAAAGAAGTTTTTAAAAAAATGTATGTAAACTTCTAATGTTCCATCAGAGAAACAACTTTTTTTCTTTTAATGTAGTATACTAGCAGACCAAATGTGCTCGTTCTCCACAAAGGAAGCCATTGAAGGAAGCCCTTACTTGACATTAAAGTCAATATAGAAATCACTGGTGGTCTACCGTCTAGTAAAACAAGAGTTACCTCCCATGTAATGTTGATTATCAAGACAGAAGGCAATAGCTGATCATTAATATCCAACGACGTTAAACTTAAAGGAGCTAAATCGCTAATATTTGGAACTTACAAATTGACACAAATGCGTGGCAACGTATATGATAATGTAATATGAATGTAAATAAACTGATTTACATTCAATCGTTTCCGTTTTTACTCTAATTTCAAAGCAATTATGTTCGGCGAAATACGCCAGAAGTCTCAATCCAATGGCAATCTCTAGCGTCTATTCCAGTCTACACCGATAGTATTTATTGCGCATGCTCTCCAGATAAGAATATGGGGTCACCGTTTGACAAGACTTGTGGAATATGTCTAACCTCGTTCTTCGAGTCGCTTGTTACAATTTGCGCTGAAACGCATTATGGTACACGATTCGTGTACCAATCGTAAAATATTTATTTTGGCTTAAATATTGGATATCAGAAGCCCGGTAAGATCACAACACCAATGTTGATTAAAATTGACAAATAATTTGTGTTTTCATTGTCGAAGGTTTTGGATGATGTTGAGTTAGAGACTTAGCTACTTTAAGATAGGCTACACAAATTGAAAGTAACATACTAGTAAAGATGTAACTATACGTCATACATCTAAACCTTACCAGGTCCTTATTGAAAATTTTTGTTTTTTGTTATTGTAATCAAAATATCTGATGTTAAATTAGACAAATTATAATCTATTGTTATTGCCAAAATAGTATTTTTTTTAATGAAGTTGTAAGACTGATTCTATTGTTATAATTGTTCATTTATATCATATGCATGATTATGTATTCTACAATGTAAGGTCAATAGTGAGTAAACACTTCCATTCGATCAAGGGACTTGCGGAAAATCCTACCTCCCTCTTCCTGGATGGGAGTTAGGGTTAAGTAGCCGGCTCTCAATACTGACCACTCATACTCATATCTACATCTTTGTTTCAAATACGTATACTGTAATATGATGATACCAGTCTCTAGAGATTGCCAGAAAAGCCTACAAAGATTGATATAAATATTCACATGTTTATATTATTGCCAGTTGTGTTTGGGTAACATAATACTTTATAATGGACATAGAACGAGGTCAAAATTTAAATAATTCATCAATTGAATAGATTATATTATTTCTTAACCAATTATTTACTTATTGTTTAGAGATTTTGATTTATATTTGTATTTCCCTAATTATTATACTTTTTTTTTTGGGGGGGGGGGTATATTAAACAATAATTAGATTATTTTATATGCCGCTGCCCGGGCAAAATTTCCCTCATAGTACACTGTTAGGCGTATGCCCGTCTTCATTAGCAGTTTAGGAGCAGAGCAGTAGGACGTTAAACCCCATATCATTTCATTTCATTTCTGGTTACTCAGGCGATAACATATGCCTAATCGACTATTGGCTGTTGTGATACGTTGCCACATCTATATGGAATAAACAGTGTCTTGTCGTTCTGGTCGTTCGCCACAGTATTAGCCAGAAAACGTTAACTGTAATAATCTAGCTAGTTTTGAAATAAAGGCATTAAAGATGCATTATGTAAGATTTAGATAAAGAGTTGACCGTGGATAATGAAAAATGAACATATTAGTCCATGACATGAGCTAGCGAAGATTTAATTAACATCTCTAGTACAGTGGTCGTTGGTCTTACTTGGTGGACCGCTAGTGGGCGAAGACCGATATATTTCCGCGGCCCCTAGCAGGTCAAGGTCACTACTTTTGGTTGGCCATTTTAAAAAAGAGAGAACAAATTAATGTGGGGTCTATCTATTTGGTCACTAAACCCCGGCGCGATCGGACGCCATTTTTTGGTAAATATCACCTCTCAGTTTTTTACTGGGTTGGTCAAAGGGGAGGAAACTCGACCATCCCGAATCGGATCGCGGCCTCTTAAACTAAATCGACCCTTGGGAGTCGAGTGGCGAACTTGTTTTAACCCTCAGAGGTCCCGGTCGACTGACCCTTTGGAATCGGTTTGGCCCGCTTATGGTCACCATGTGACCTGCAAGGGTCAATTTGAGGGGGAGGGGATCTAAAAAAAAATGAAACGACATTTTGGTCGCACCGGAGCCCCAAGGTACTGATGCATGGCCCTGAAACTCTGGCACCAGAACATTGGACCAATAGCCCTGCAACTGCCTTTTCCAGGTCAAATGGCCGGACAGGGGGCTAGCCAAGTTCACGGTCCTATGTCAGCACTTATGCATCAGAATCAAGCGATAGACCGAGACCTCGGCTTACAGATATTCAAACTTTAGACACCTGGTCTCACTCCAAAGGACATGTAAGTGTTCAAAACATCCACCACCACCCCTCCCCGCCCTCTCCAACCAAGTCATCCGAATTGCGTTTATGGCAATATCTCGGTTTCCTATATGGTGTGCGGCCTAGTTTTTTTCAGGGAGATATGCCTTAGTGTGACGAATCGATCCCCATTAGCGAGTATCAAATAATATTGTTTTGTGCGCGTTCTATTCATTCATATCTGAATTGTAAAACATTTGAAATCACGTTGGCATATGATTTTCGATTTCAGCAATAATGGAGGCAAGTCCAATTGTCGAGGGAACTGAGACGAGAAATACTTAAACATACATTATGCAAGAGCTAAATCTGCCGATTGCGGGTCTTTCTTTAGACATTAATTAACTTATCCAGACCATAATCAACTCTCGATGCCATCTTATTTGTCCGATTTTCATTGCATTTGAATCCGATCTACCGTTCAACTCCCTTTGATGATTAACCGCAAAACGGATAATCGAGATTTTGTTAATTATCGTAACAGCGGTAACAATTACAATCGAGGCTACAGTGATTTTAAAATAAGGTTTTCTCGGCTTAGAGTGAAGCAATTTGACTTAAATGTTCAGCCTATTCCCTTTATATTATCTAGTTTTTAACTATTATAGTGAGAATTGTCAGCGCCTTATCTAATCTTCTATAATGTATCTTTAAGTTACATAATCCAGTTAATCTAGAGATCATTTTGCAGATTTTATGACAATATTTCAGCCAGGTAAACCCCAGTCCAAACTCCATTTCTTGACACTTATAGATATATTATATAAGCGCTAAATCTGTCTATTGTAGGACTTTCTTTGGGCCTTAGAATGAATCAATTTGACCGAAAGTTTACTAAGCAGCAAAAGAAACATCGGGTTGGTATGTTACTCTGTGACCACATCTACAACTTTACCTGAGCAATAAGGCTCCTTCCCAAACACAGAATTGAACCCAGGAAATATTCTCAAAAACGCAACCTGACTTCTGAGATGGTATTATGTTCTCCATGATTTTCATGTACATGTAACTCATGCTGCACGTGCTGTTCGCCGTGACCAGCCCTATAAAATTCACCCCCATGCCTGGTTGAATCATTCACACTACAACGTCAGCTGCATGCCACGACTCACGACAGCTCAGAGGAACCAGGCGCTTGGAAGACTCGGCGCTGGCCACACTGCCCAAGCCGTTGCCAATCACTTCTAGGTCAATGTTCGGACCATCTACCGGCTTCAGCAACGCATTCGGGCCACCAACACCACGGATGCCCCCCTCCCCACCCGAACTGGTAGACCAAGGGTTACCACAAGGCGACAAGACCGCCATGTTGTGCGACAGCACGTGCAGAATCCCTTCACATAGGTATCTGAGACAGCACGTCAGACAGTGGGAACACACGGAAGAACCATCAGTACCGATACAGTGCGCAGTGCGCCGAGAGAACATCAGCTCCTCACCCCTCGCCATCGACGTCAACGTCTACAGTTTGCTCAACAACACCAGAACTGGCAGTGGAGAACTGTTCTGTTCACAGATGAGAGTCGGTATTGCGTATCAACTGCAGATGGCAGGACCAGAATATGGCGTCGACGTGGCCAGCGTTATTCTGACCAATGTGTCATGGAACGAGACTCATGGGGAGGTCCAAGCATAATGGTTTGTGGTGGAATCGGCCTGAACCAGAGAGTGGGTCCTGTGGTGTTCCAAAATCTTGGTCCAGGGAGACGAGGCGGCATCACAGCAGTGCGCTACATCGATCAAGCTCTCAGACCCCATGTCCTACCACACAACGTTTTCCAGCATGACAACAACCGTGCCCACACCGCCAGAGTTACTCGGGACTTTTTACAGCAGAACGGTGTCAACGTTATGCACTGGCCAGCCCTTAGTCCGAACTTAAACCCGATTGAACATCTTTGGGATGAAATTCAGAGGAGACTTCATAACGTCGTTTCGAGACAGTCGATGGATTGCACCAGGCCTTTCTGAGAGAGTGGTTCTAGGTGCCAATGGCGTTCATCAATCGTCTGATCCACTTCATGTACAGACGCTGTGCTACTGTTATTGACACTCGCGGTGGACACACCAGATACTGAGTATATTACCTTTTCCTTATCCAGTCTTTAGCTATTATAGCGAGAACTGTCAGCTCTTTATCTAAATGTTACATAATACATTTTAAAAATAGCGTTTATTTTCGATATCCTGTGAAATCTAGAACTGTCATGCTTAATGACATTTTATATTCCACGTGGAATGCTCTGTCATCTATATATAGATTGTCACACTAAAGCATCAGTTTATCTGAAAATTAGAAGAAGTTTCAGCCATGAAACCCAATTCGTACTTCTGAGTTCTGATATAAATTATTATAACGGTAATATAAGTAATTGTTCAATATGATGACTTGTGGGTATGTCGAATTAGTCTCACTTCACACGTATAGGGTATATGTCAGTAAAGAGGTGCCTGCGGCGCTGATCAGGATATGCACTGTATAGTATAGTTCGAATTCGAGAAGTCTGCTGCTACTGCCGTTCCATGCACCTATCGATCCTATTCTATACCGTATGTTAAGCTCAAAATGACCGAATAGAGTAATCACGAGCAAGTGGTGGCTAAATCCCTGTGCCGTTGAAAACGGTATATTATTTATGATTTTGCATCTGTATTGGTGACTGGGGAGTAGTCTAAATAACGCGATATTATAACCTAATAGCGGTTGAACCGGCGTAGCACAGGTGTAGCCATGAACCGGAAGTTGTAGTCCATCGCCTCCAGGCCTATGTTACTCCAAGGTCCGAGCTACCTACCCCATAACACCAAATTTCAGCCTCGGGACAGCCCTAGTGTAGTCCACTAGCCACCAACCCTAAACAGATAGATAAACGACAGTCACAAATATTTGTGTAGATTGTTCTATTTTCTTCCTTTTAATTTTTTTTATTAGGCTTTCTCTCATTCCTCAGATTGGATGGAAAAACCTGCAAAATAATTTGAATACTAGTAATAAAGAACAAGCTCAATGCAGAGAAAATAATCCTAATGTTTCTTTCATTTCCTTAGATTTGTCTTTATTTTAATTCCATAGCGCACATAAATGTTATATTGAACTTGTTAAACAGAGCTATTGTTCCTTATGTCTGTTGTCTACCTGTTTAAACGAACCAGGAAATCAAATACTTGACTGCAGTCCGTTAATCTAGCTGTCTGTCATCAGTTATACGACCAGTCGTTGACGAGTTGTTTAACCGACTGACTCAGACCTGTAGCTCAGTATATAGTTAGTTTATTTACTTGTAAGCCCACGGGTGTAATCGGTGGTGACGAATTTAGAAATTTTGTACGGTTGACACATTCATTTAACTTCTTCTGTGTTGTCGATGTTTACATTCCATTCAAATACATTGGGATTGTGAATACACCACTGTGGAGTGAGTAACATTGCGAATTAATCTAGTTTTAAAGCCCAGGAAGTAAATTATAGATAATCAAGAGGCGTTAACCAGGTTGATATTATTTCAGATGACGAATTATTTCTAATTAATGAACTATTTTCAAAAGTAAATATGGCTTTTTGTCAACTAGAGATGGTCGTCTGCTATATTACATTGACGTATATGGTGATGAATGGTGTATTTGGTCATGGAAGATTATTAGATCCACCATCAAGATCTAGTATGTGGCGAGAAGGGTTTAAAAATCCACCTAATTATAATGATAATCAGCTATTCTGTGGCGGAGTGCAGGTAAGACGGTTTTAGCGTGTATATTATAACAATCAACAGTGGTTTAATGACAAATTCCTAGATCGTTCTGTCATGGGCTAACATAATAATTGACAGATAAATGGCAGGTGCGATCAGAAGTCACTTTAAGTTTAATAAAAAAAAAAACGTTTGGTTTCTCATAATTTGCTTTTACAAATTGTTAATTTGCTTTAATGTGAGGTAAATGTTAGAGTGTATAATTAAAATGGCCTGTATATTAACAGTACTTCGCATAGATTCCAATGGTTTATTTCTGATTCAAACCCCTACACAATCAAAAGCTCTTGTTGATTTCCCATCATCATCTTGATGCGTCTATTATAAATAAAGTAACAATAATTATAACACCTTCGTCTGACCATTCTTCGTAAAAATTCTTTAAATACTTGTACGTGAAAGAAGTATTATGTGTGTGTGTGGGTGTGGAGGGGGTGGGGAGGAATGTAACTCCTGAACGAAATTCGCTAGGGTTCGTTCTCTCATGACCCCAAATGTTTTTGCGGGGAATTCGTCGTCTGCACCAACCTGATGGTTAATTTTGCCCGATGAGCGACGTTTCCGCCTATTCTTCATCGAATTCCTACTGGCAAGGGTTCATTTATGTGCTCGCTAACTACACACGGGGCATCAGTTTTCGTTCTCTTGCGAACGAGTTCACGCTGTTCATTCTCAAATCCCCTCCGCCCTGTGAGTAATTATTAAATGACGCTGGTATTTTAATCCATGTACGACCTACTCTTGTTTCGAAATGCTGCTGTCAAGGATTCGTCTAGGTGCACGTCGACGTGTACACGGGACATTGTTTTTGGGGTTGTTTTTTTTTCCGAACATCTAGAGACACTGTTCCTTGCCACACCCTTTGTCCTGCACAATTGACATCGGGAAACCACGCTGGAAAATCTCAAATTGTTTCGCATCGTTCGATCGGCCAGTCGTTTATAAACTATACATACATGTATAAACATCCAATGTGCTTTTTTTTAAATTTTAGTTTTGCTTGACCTGTTTGTACACATAGATATGCAATCAACTTCTTACTGACTTGTCAATGTATTATATTATGTAAAATGTTATAAAATCTTAAAAGGCGCGATCAACATGTTCTTTAGAAGTATATTTGTATATATCAAGATTCAAAGAGCTAGACGAAATGAAATGGGTGGGTACGGTCGAGGTTCTTTCTTTTGTCTTATATCTCAATGCAGGGAATGATAGGTATTTCTAATTCGTTAGGAGTCACGTTGGCTAAGTTGGTAAGACGCTGCCTCGCTAGCTTGGAGGTCGGGTTTCGATCCCTGCATTGGCCGAGAAAGTTCATCCAGATTTTCCGGCGTGGTTCCCCCTTGTCAGTGATGCAGGACGGAGGGTCTGACAAGAACAACTGTCTAGTCGTTCGGATGGTATAAAAAAAACAGAGGTCCCGTGTACACATTGGAGTTCACGTAAAAGATCGCTTGACAGTTGGAATTCGATATAAGAGTAGGCCATAGTACAAAAATTCCCCTCATAGCGCACTATATCGCCAAGAAATCAAAACTGCGCTACAGACAATATTGTGCGAACATATGAAACGGAAATAAATATGTCACAAACTGTTTATGTGTAGCAGTTTATAGTCCACTTCGCCATGGGTTCTTCTCTGAAAAAGAAAAGGTCCCAAAGATTTTGTCAATCAACTTACTATTGATTTGTCATTACATTATATAACGTGTTATAAAATCTCAAAAGGCACAATCAACATAAAAAAGTAAAAAGTATATTTGTATTATATCAAGCTACAAATGCTAGAATGAATTTATTTGGCTGGATCCACTCGGGGTTATTTTTTTGTTATATCTCTTTGACTGGAATGTCGAAAATAAGCAAGTCACAAACTGTTTAAATGTAACAAGTAACAAATTGCACTTTTTGGAAAAAGAGGGAAGTCATTTGATTTTTCCCTTTTCATTCTATTACGCTGTATTAAATATTTGAAGCTTATTTGAAAAAATAACGGAAGTGTCTAAATTTAGAAATATGCACAGACATGCATTGTTATTTTATGAGAACACGCCCGTCTTTTCGATGAAATATTTGGGAATACCAAGATATTGAAAAAACAACGTAATTACTTGAATTTCAAAACAGGAAGACTAGACCAGTTAATTTATGATTTTACCCCTAGCAAATTGTAAGAAAACGTTTTTATGCATTTTTGCGTTTATTTGGGTGTACTTTGTAACATCTAGAAAATTTAGGTACCTGAAAGCGGTAAAGTCTAAAATGGCCGACATTCACCAAATCAATGTACAAGAAAATCCTAAATTGTTGGTTTTTTAGGCCCTTTAAATAATTATGAACATAATTATGAATTAATGTTTTTTGGGCCATTCTTTCATTTGAAGATATTTCCACTGATCCCTTATAAAATTTTTTGGGGTGGATACCCCTACACCACGCAACCTTGGAGTCAGAGAACACAGGTTTACGAATAGGCTTAACTCTGTACTGCTTCATCGTAATATAGCAACCTTAGTAACGGAGCTAATGTTTTTGGGTTCAATATTTCATCATTTGAATATGTGGCCTCGAGCCAAAAATTTACGAATACTCTGCATTACCCCCATAACCCGCTGTCATGGAAGATAAGTGAAGCAAGACAAACAAATAAATGTGCAAAAAATTATTTACCAATTTGCTCTACATAGAATAAAGCAAGTTAGGGGGGGGGGGGGTATCCGAAAATGGTATAAGGGACCATTAACACAACTGAGGATATCGTCAAACGGAATATTGACCCCAAAAAAACATTAGTTCAGTTACCAAGTTTGCTGTATTATGTTGGGTATATAATCTCTAAATAAAAGAATGTGCAGCATGTTTCTGGGGTAAACCATCAAAAACCCCTTTCTTACAATGTTTTTAGGTGTTGACCCCTCTAGGCATCTTCAAACAAAATAACACTCAGGTTCATTCATTTTTTTGTTTGCTTTGCTTTTATACATACAGCAAAAAGAGATACATTTTTTTTAACAAGGATTCGTATTTTCCAAGAAAGTACAATATTCGTATTCGTGAAGTAAATATTTATTCAAAATGTAAAGATTCACTATTCTGTGTTCGTCTGTGTGTAAGAAGTACAAGTACAATAAAAGTGGCTAGACGTATTAATCAAATGTATGTGTATATATGTAATAATATTAATGTAGTACATGACAGTTAAAGTTACATTATAAACAAGGTTGTTAACTATTTACATGCATATACTAGTTTAACATGGTCAATACGTGTAGATGTTAATATCGTCTGACCCTAAACAAATCATTGTACATTTTTATCTTAACGCCTACAGGAAGTTGTTATATTGTGCTGCATAATATTAAAACATTTTTAAACCTCCACATTACACGTAGTCTATTGTCGACACCCCTAACCGTCGCGGCACTATCTTTACAAACGCTCTGAAGGACAGATTTTGGGGGATTTTGGGGTACAGAAACTGGGTCCCGAGCGCCACTAATCTTCTTGTTGCATGGGGGCGACGCTCTTCAAAGAAAGTCTAAAGCTCTGTCAATTCAAGTACGATCGACATGAGACTTGGCATACTTGTTCCTTGTACAATTGAGCATCGATTGAGAAACCAATTCCAAGATGTCGGCGATAACGCCATGCTCGGTTCCTAGTCCATACTACTGCCTTTAAATCTAATGCGAAAACAAAGTATCGAAATTCTGACAGAAATAATGGACCTTTCACAAAATTTTCAAAGGATCGTTGCATGGCAACGCTGTTTAGTTGATGTATACCTGTTTATCAATCATCTTAAAGACACATTGTAGCTCAAAATGCAAATTTCTTGGATTCTGATTGGTTGAAAAGTGGCGTCGAATGAGTATAACAGTCCTCTAAATCTCCTAGGCGACTCACTGCGAATGAATATTTTCTGGGTGCTAGACTCTGTTTGCAGTGGCCAAAAATTCTACACCTCAAAACTTTATTCTAGGAAATCTTCATGAATTTTTTCTTGTATGTCATCAACAATGAAATTAAACTATTGGCTTATTGAAACACACCTGAACCACACAAAAAACAGAGTTGGTGAGTGTATTTGAAAGATAATAAGTAAATTTCATTTCAAGGCTGGTCTGACAATAATGGTTGCTATGGACGAGTATGGTCATTCTATCATATCCAGACTGGTCAAAATCGAAGATTTTCAACAAGTGAATAAAAATACTACAATTTATTGAACTCCGTATAGACCGTAAATAACTGATTGGGATACATTTTAAAAATATACAAGTCGGGCTGATACTGATATGAATATTTTCATACACAGGCCAGGGTTTTTTGCGAATATTCCCGCGTACAAACTGGGTGATTTGATTATATATTTGGACTAATTAATTTATCATAATTTTGCTTCAAATCCTTCTCAAAATATTGCAATTGTCAGGGAATGCCCTTACTATAAAAAAATCGATCAGAAGCGGTCATGTTTGTGTCAGTGACTAACCTCTCTAGGTACCTAGCAACGGGTGGGGAGTCGGAGGATAATTCATTACATACACATAAGACGATGTTGTCTTCAATCGCAGACTATTTATTACAAATATTGAAGCCTAATTAAATTCTCGGATTATCCACTGCCCGCATCTTTTTTCAGACACTCCTAATCGTCGGTCTGTCGATTAGGGAAACCCTTACATTTTTGTCTTGTATGCGCTCCATAAGTGTTTTTCAGTGAATCCAGTATTTTTCTAGTAAATAGAGGATATTTGTCGTTTTAGAGTGAATAACATATTTTATTTCATCGAGAAGCAAGAAAACTTATATTTTCACGAATGCGTAGCATGAGTGAAAATATAAACGTTTTCTTGCTTAGAGATGAAATAAAATATGTTATTCACGACAAAACGACAAATGTTCTATTTATTTTATGATTTTACAATCATTTTAGGTAAAAACAACTAGCCAGTGGAATAACACTTTTATTTCAT